ATGTAGCATCCGACCTCTTCCCTTTCAGTGTCATATCTTATTTAGATTATTTTATTACCTTAAATTGTAAATAGTTTGACAAAAACAGAAATAAAGTAGTAATATACCTGCAGACTACCGTGTCAGTAAAACATCCACACAAACAACACGAAAAAAGAAAACGCGGGCACAGCGTCACAAACAAAGTATAAATATGGATGTCGATTCACACATGGGCAAATACGCATCAAAATGAAATATCTCTATATCCTTTAGGATTTTAATGATTTGGAAAATATGTTAATGTCTGAAGCTGCCACTCCTGTAACCGCGGGCCTGACGGTTTGTGGTTTCTCTCCTCCCCCTCCCCCCCCCCCCCCCCCCCCCCCCCCCTAAGTATTGATATAATTATACAACAAGGTTATCAAGGATGGGTGTACCTAACGACACTGAAATGATGAGTCCATACACTAATTTCTATCTCCGTTATTCAAAACAAACGTCGCCTTGCACGTCTGACCACAAGCCGCGGGCTCCTTGTTCGAAACCTGTGTGTTTTGTCGGTGAAGCCTCATACGCCAATCCCTCTCTTGAAGCTAATTAGCAATGGTATGTTGAAGTGATACAGATAACACGTGCTCTGGCAGTGATTCAGTTATAATAGTCATCAAGCCAAACATTTATCATGGGTAAGTAGTACAATTGTATTTTTTCATTAAAATAATCACTCTAGAAATATGGAAGATTGGATATTTTTTTTAGATTAAAACACTTCAATGTTACATAGCAGGCGACGTTTTGTCAAAGGAATGTTCATTGTAAATAAAAACCGCAACTTAATTTAAGGAGGGGCGAAAATGAAAAAAATGTAACTTCTTTGGGATGGGTAAGTATCAAATTATTTACAAATTGAAAGGAAGCTCGCAGTATCACACAATCAGCCGAACTGAATAATAGAATGTTGATTTCTCACAGATAGTTGTGGCTCGAGGAGACGTTATATCAGATCTACGTCAACGATCATTTTATATATTAAAAAAAATGGAAATCTATGCATGATCTTGTGTTGAAAGGACAAAATATGAGACATTGTCAACATCTAGGGACAACGTGTACCGCAGCATTAACAAAGACAGCGTTGTAACCCAGCAGGGTAAAATATAACACAAGCACACAATAAACCACAACGTCATCATATGCATATAAAATATACCACAACGTCGTCATATAAATATAAAATATACCACTATGTCATCATATAAATATAAAATATACCACTAGTCATCGCATAAATATAAAATATACCAGAACGTCATCCTATAAGCATAAAATATACCACGTCATCATACAAGTATGAAATATACCACTACGTCAACATATAAATATAAAATATACCACTACGTCATCATATAAATATAAAATATACCACAACATCATCATATAAATATAAAATATACCACAACGTCGTCATATAAATATAAAATATACCACTACGTCATCATATAAGCATAAAATATATCACGTCATCATACAAGTATGAAACATACCACAACGTCATCATATAAATATAAAATATACCACTACGTCATCATATAAATATAAAATATACCACAACGTCATCAAACAAGTATAAAATATACCACTACGTCATCATATAAATATAAAATATACCACAACGTCATCAAACAAGTATAAAATATGCCACTACGTCATCAAACAAGAATAAAATATGCCACTACGTCATCAAACAAGAATAAAATATGCCACTACGTCATCATACAAGTACACATTATATCACAACGTCATGTATAAGGGTTAACAATGACAGTTTAATTATGTGATTCACACACACATGAATGTACATTGTATGACATGTCTACTTTTATTTTCAAATTAAATTTGATCTTCACACCACATCCTATTGATAAACGTGTTTTTTTTAGGATAAACTGTTTTTTATGATTAGTATTTGAAACCTCAAGAATTTTAGTGACCAAACCTATTTCCTTTGACTTTCCTATTAGATTATCGTGGACTTTGACTTTCCTATTACATAATCGTGGACTTTGACTTTCCTATCACATTATCGTGGACTTTGACTTACCTATTACATTGTCGTGGACTTTGATTTTCCTGTTACATTATCGTGGACTTTGAGTTTCCTATTACATTATCGTGGAATTTGACTTTCCTATTACATTATCGTGGACTTTGACTTTCCTATTACATTGTCGTGGACTTTGATTTTCCTATTACATTATCGTGGACTTTGACTTTCCTATTAGATTATCGTGGACTTTGACTTTCTTATTACATTATCGTGGTCTTTGACTTTCCTATTACATTATCGTTGACTTTGACTTTCCCATTACATTATCGTGGAGTTTGACTTTCCCATTAGATTATCGTGGACTTTGACTTTCCTATTACATTGTCGTGGACTTTGACTTTCCTATTACATTATCGGGGACTTTGACTTTCCTTTTACATTAACGTAGACTTTGACTTTCCTATTGCATTGTCGTGCACTTTGACTTTCCTATTACATTATCGTGGACTTTGACTTTCTTATTACATTATCGTGGTCTTTGACTTTCCTATTACATTATCGTGGACTTTGACTTTCCCATTACATTATCGTGGAGTTTGACTTTCCTATTAGATTATCGTGGACTTTGACTTTCCTATTACATTATCGTGGAATTTGACTTTCCTATTACATTATCGTGGACTTTGACTTTCCCATTACATTATCGTGGACTTTGACTTTCCTATTACATTATCGTGGACTTTCGCCCTTGGAGAAGGCCGGGAAGCCGAAATATTTGGACTTTTTTCTACATTTTCAAACCTATTTCCATTTTACTTAAAAGAGAATGCAACCTTGATACTCGGTCAAACTTTTCATTGTTGACTTACAATGCAAATCGATAATCTACGGGGTTCACTATCTGATTAGAACTGTTCTAATCATTAATGTCTAAATAAGCTATTAACCCGATCAGGCACAGTCAGACCAAGCCATATCGTTTGATCTTTAGTAGGAGTTGTCCTAGCTTTACTTTGGAGATTACTAATTATATTGCCCTTTTATTTTGACGCTTTGTCCCTGTATATATATTCGATATTCCTGTCTGTTTGATTGAGACAAGACAGACCCAAGGCAACGTGTTTGATACTTATTTAGAGTATTCTAAATTTACAAGATAACGCAATAGGTCTCCTTGTTTTTGATGCGGACATATTTGTAAATATGATAACCCTATGATCATGTGCTTGACGTGTAATTAGAACTATTGTAACAATACCGGATATTACTAAACACGGGCCCCCTGTATGTTAAATCTGTGGTATGACGGTTTTGTTTTTACACGTCTATCCGATCGGATGACTAATAGTAGACCCTACACAATGTGCTCAATGTTCGATTATACGTCTAACTTTACTATAGATTATGAATAGACTGTTAACACAATCCCGATCTAGTGCAGCCAGATCCCTGGAAACAATCTCGATCTAGTACAGCCAGATCCCTGGAAACAAATGATACTTCCTTAGGAGTCGACAAAAGTTACATGATGACATACGGGCTTCTATGGTTTGTAACTAAGGCAGATATGAGTAAGAGAAAAAATGATCAATTAGTATTTCTTAGAACGTATTGATAACGTATCACTAGGCTTACGGCAAGGTAGCGCATCTTCATAAATCTCACTTTCAACGACTTACATGAAAATAGTTAAGTACGATTATAGGTAAATCAATTAAAAACAGGTGTGAGGCATTAAACGAAGAATCGCTTAACTTAAAGTAGAATAATTTTGAACGAGTGAATGAATGAATCGATGAAGGAAATTTAATTATATATACTGTGTAGTATTGTGTACTGTATATGGTGGTTCAAAAGAGCCCTTACCTTTCCTATGAGGAGTACCATACTGGTAAGGGTATTAACCCCAGGACTCCAAACCTGACAATACCCAGTTTACATGATAGGGAATGAAATACGAAAAAAGTAGATATATGCACCTCTCTAACAAGCAGAACTACAGAGGTCGATTTGAATATATGTCACAAAACATAAAATGATAACATACCATGTTAATTAGTTCAAAACAGGCCCCGTATAATTGAAACCGTGTTCATACTCATCGTCATATTCTGTACTCAAGCACATTAAATTGTCCGGGCGATCAAATAACACAAAATCAAATTGTCAATGATTTAGAAGCATTTTCTGGAAACTAAGAGCCGGATACAGTTGTCAATGGCTGGACTTGACGTTTAACCTTTTTCGCGTGATTTAGGCAAGCTACATTGTATTAGAAAGCATAATCCATACTTGAGCATGTAGGGTCACATCACGTCACAGCTTAACATGCTACATGTATCAGGCTGATCAAAATTTCACTGAATCATTCCATATATGAATAAAAAAGCTGTTAAATAAATTACTTTGCCATATTCTAATGATAATGAATTGTAAATCAAACAGTATTTGATAGAATCACCTAATATGTATGATTATAGCTGACCTTAATTATACGAATATGGAATGTAAACAAACCAGACCCTTGATTAAGTATTTGTAGGATTGATGGACACTGTAGGATTGGTGGAGGACGTTAGGATTGGTGGAGGACTGTAGGATTGGTGGAGGACGTTAGGATTGATGGAGGACTGTAGGATTGGTGAAGGACTGTAGGATTGGTAGAGGACGTTAGGATTGATGGGGGACGTTAGGATTGGTGGAGGACTGTAGGAGGACTGTAGAATTCGTGGAGTGGTGGAGGACTGTAGGATTGGTGAAGGACTGTAGGATTGGTTGGGGACGTTAGAATTGGTGGAGGACTGTAGGAGGACTGTAGGATTCGTGGAGTGGTGGAGGACTGTAGGATTGGTGGACACTGTAGGATTGGTGGATGACGTAGGATTGGTGGAGGACTGTAGGATTGGTGGAATTGGTGGAGGACTGTAGGATTGATTGGATTGGTGGAGGACTGTAGGATTGGTGGAGGACGTTAGGATTGGTGGAGGACGTTAGGATTGGTGGAGGACGTTAGGATTGGTGTGGGACTGTAGGATTGGTGGAGGACTGTAGGAGGACTGTAGAATTCGTGGAGTGGTGGAGGACTGTAGGATTGGTGAAGGACTGGAGGATTGGTGGACACTGTAGGATTGGTGGAGGGCTGTAGGATTGGTTGAGTGGTGGGGGATTGGTGGAGGACTGTAGGATTGGTTGGATTGGGGGAGGACTGTAGGATTGGTGAAGGACTGTAGGATTGGTTGGGGACGTTAGAATTGGTGGAGGACTGTAGGAGGACTGTAGGATTAGTGAAGGACTGTAGGATTGGTGGAGTGGTGGAGGACAGTAGGATTGGTGGACACTGTAGGATTGGTGGAGGACTGTAGTATTGGTGGAGGACTGTAGGATTGGTTGGATTGGTGGAGTACTGTAGGATTGGTGAAGGACTGTAGGATTGGGGGACACTGTAGGATTGATGGAGGACTGTTGGATTGGTTGAGTGGTGGAGGACTGTAGGATTGGGGGACACTGTAGGATTGATGGAGGACTGTTGGATTGGTTGAGTGGTGGAGGATTGGTGGAGGACTGTAGGATTGGTTGGATTGGTGGAGGACTGTAGGATTGGTGAAGGACTGTAGGATTGGTGGACACTGTAGGATTGGTGGAGGACTGTAGGATTGGTTGAGTGGTGGAGGATTGGTGGAGGACTGTAGGATTGGTTGGATTGGTGTAGGACTGTAGGATTGGTGGACACTGTAGGATTGGTGGAGGACTGTAGGATTGGTGGAGGACTGTAGGATTGGTTGGATTGGTGGAGGACTGTAGGATTGGTGGGATTGGTGGATGACTGTAGGATTAGTGGAGGACGTAGCATTGGTGGAGGACGTTATAAGCTGATTTGGAGAGAAAGGTTTTAGAAATGACAATGACATCAGTCATTGCTATGTAAGGTGTAAAAACGACGTTTAACTATTGAAAAAGGAACGTGAGACAAAAATTAATTTCATTTCATCATACAGCCGTCTAGGACTCATCGGTGATCATATGGGCAAAACGGGAACAGATGTGTCTAAACTACTGTTGAAACAAAAGAGGGGAGCATGAAATCCTTTAAAGATACCACTCTTTAGTCGACGGAGGTGTCCTGGCCCAGACAACCAAAACGAGCTTAAGGGGAGATTACTCTATGTAGTGTACAGAGAATCAACAGAGCAAAATGCAAAGGACGAACACCGTTCCTGTCAGCCAGTTGAGACACTGTGTACTACTCGGAAGGTATGCTATATGCCAGCATTACACATGATTCCCAAGTCAAGAAATATAATAAAAATATGTAACATACTTATATTGAATATTGATAATTTAATATTTAACTCGTTAATTAATAGCATATTATTGTTTTTATTACTAACTGAGTCGTTCAAAAATGAAATTAAATACTTCTATGACGTCACTGTGTGAAATTTCTTTGTTATTTAATTTACACCATGGACATTTCGTTCTTTATATAAATATAAAATTATGATATTTATATCGACACACCTCTTGTGTTTTTTAATCAAACCCGATAAAACTTAAACAACATGCGCATATTTTGGTATAGTCTAACAAATTCAAATATAAACAACAAAATATATTCAATGTTTATTTGCAATTAATGATTATAAGTCTGTGCTTGACGTCAGTTCACTGTATCATGTCCGGGTGAGAATAGCGGACCCGGATGTGGCCTATGTCGCGTGGATCAATCTCAAGAATGCAATGTATATCCTGTTTATTAAATAAATTACAGGAAAAATTATAGATTAGCAATGTAGCTGTGTGTGGTTAAATAAACAATAAAGCGACAAGTCATTACTTGTTTATAACGGCGTTTTAAAACAGCTCAGACATATTATATAGCTAAGTCAATACATTGTAGTTCTTTAGCCATGTTATATAGCTTAGTCAATACATTGTAGTACTTCACAACGACGTTCTGTAACATTTTAGCCATGTTATATAGCTAAGTCAATACACTGTAGTACTTCACAACAACGTTTGGTAAAACTTTAGCCATGTTATATAGCTAAATCAATACATTGTAGTACTTCACAACGACGTTTTATAACAGTTTAGTCATGTAATATAGCTAAGTCAATACATTGTAGTACTTCATAACGACGTTTTGTAACACTTTAGCCATGTTATATAGCTAAGTCAATACATTGTAGTACTTCACAACGACGTTTTGTAACACTTTAGCCATGTTATATAGCTAAGTCAATACATTGTAGTACTTCACAACGACGTTTTGTAACACTTTAGCCATGTTATATAGCTAAGTCAATACATTGTAGTACTTCACAACGACGTTTTGTAACACTTTAGCCATGTTATATAGCTAAGTCAATACATTGTAGTACTTCACAACGACGTTTTGTAACACTTTAGACATGTTATATAGCTAAGTCAATACATTGTAGTTCTTCACAATGACGTTTTGTAACACTTTAGCCATGTGATATAGCTAAGTCAATACATTGTAGTACTTCACAACGACGTTTTGTAACACTTTAGCCATGTTATATAGCTTAGTCAATACATTGTAGTACTTCACAACGACGTTCTGTAACACTTTAGCCATGTTATATAGCTAAGTCAATACATTGTAGTACTTCACAACGACGTTTTATAACACTTTAGCCATGTTATATAGCTGAGTCAATACATTGTAGTACTTCACAACGACGTTTTGTAACACTTTAGACATGTTATATAGCTAAGTCAATACATTGTAGTACTTCACAACGACGGTTTGTAACACTTTAGCCATGTTATATAGCTTAGTCAATACATTGTAGTACTTCACGACGACGTTCTGTAACACTTTAGCCATGTTATATAGATAAGTCAATACATTGTAGTACTTCACAACGACGTTTAATAACATTTTAGCCATGTTATATAGCTAAGTCAATACACTGTAGTACTTCACAACGACGTTTGGTAAAACTTTAGCCATGTTATATAGCTGAGTCAATACATTGTAGTACTTCACAACGACGTTTTGTAACACTTTAGCCATGCTATATAGCTAAGTCAATACATTCTTCACAATGACGTTTTGTAACACTTTAGCCACGTGATATAGCTAAGTCAATACATTGTAGTACTTCACAACGACGTTCTGTAACACTTTAGCCATGTTATATAGCTAAGTCAATACATTGTGGTACTTCACAACGACGTTTTGTAAAATTTTAGCCATGTTATATAGCTAAATCAATACATTGTAGTACTTCACAACGACGTTTTGTAACACTTTAGACATGTTATATAGCTAAGTCAATACATTGTAGTTCTTCACAATGACGTTTTGTAACACTTTAGCCACGTGATATAGCTAAGTCAATACATTGTAGTACTTCACAACGACGTTTTATAACATTTTACCCATGTTATATAGCTAAGTCAATACATTGTAGTCCTTCACAATGACGTTTTGTAACACTTTAGCCATGTGATATAGCTAAGTCAATACATTGTAGTACTTCACAACGACTTTTTGTAACACTTTAGCCATGTTATATAGCTTAGTCAATACATTGTAGTACTTCACAACGACGTTTTGTAAAATTTTAGCCATGTTATATAGCTAAATCAATACATTGTAGTACTTCACAACGACGGTTTGTAACACTTTAGCCATGTTATATAGCTAAGTCTATACATTGTAGTACTTCACAACGACGTTTTGTAACACTTTAGACATGTTATAAAGCTAAGTCAATACATTGTAGTTCTTCACAATGACGTTATGTAACACTTTAGCCATGTGATATAGCTAAGTCAATACATTGTAGTACTTCACAACGACGTTTTATAACATTTTAGCCATGTTATATAGCTAAGTCAATACATTGTAGTACTTCATAATGACGTTTTGTAACACTTTAGCCATGCTATATAGCTAAGTCAATACATTGTAGTATTTCACAACGACGTTTTATAACAGTTTAGCCATGTTATATAGCTAAGTCAATACATTGTAGTACTTCACAACGACGTTTTGTAACACTTTAGCCATGCTATATAGCTAAGTCAATACACTGTAGTACTTCACAACGACGTTTTATAACACATAAGCTGTGTATTATGATGACAAATCAGTACCTGTTGTATAGCAAAGAACTTTTATGACATTTCAGCTCTGTGATATAGGAATAAAGATGTACTTGTTTATTACATGGCGGTGACGATTTATAATATACAGTGAGGAAATCGGTATCTTGTAGCAAGGAAATCATTATTCTTATGACTCAGTACACTGGTTTTTTTAAAACATTGTAGCTGTGTAATATACAGGTAACAGTTAATTAATGATTGTTGATTGCTTAGCAACGATGTTTTTGTATGCTAGCTGTGTAGTGTAGCGATATTGCACTACCTTACACTAATACAATCTACAGCGCGAGTAAGACTTAAATTATCGACAACTTCGAGAACGTTTCTTTCCACATGACATTTTATGACCTTCATTTACATAGTGTCCCATACTGTTGTAAAAAGCGGGAGCCTGAAGTGGGTTCCTTGTTCTGTTTAACATAAACGGAACTAGGAACTAGGAACCAGACCCCATGACCAAATACTTTATAGAGGATATGGTGGTCTTAATTTTCGTGTGAAAGGTTGTGGGTTCGATTCCTGTAATGGATTCAGATCTAAGTTCCCAGGCGATTATAAGAGGCTGGCTATAATGTTTTTCTAAAACAGACCTTGTATTTTGGTCGAAGTTCGATTGATAGTGTTATTTCAATTTGGTTCCCAGTTCCGTTTAGGTAAAATGGAACTAGGGTCTGGTTCCTAGTTCCGCTTATGTTAAACGGAAATAGGGTCAGGTTCCTAGTTCCGTTCTAGGAACTAGGAACCAACTTCAGGCTCCAAAATTTAGCTTAGCACAGGAATAATGTTGAAATTCAATTCTGACAAGGAAAGACATCAGATGACAGTGAAAAGACAGTTTAGAGACGTGAGAGGACCCACCACGGGCAGCACCAGGTGTTCTGGGGAGGGGGAGTTATCAAATGACTGCCTACAGTTAAATCAGGGAAATGTACAGATCTAAGATTATAGTTCCTTAATTCCTTATAACGTGTGTAATCCCACCTTTATATACAGAGGGATCCGTTATCTGTTACTAATACTGTCGAGAGGTTTGGCTGAGCGTCAGGGGGGAAATACATTACCGATAAATAAGGTGATTGATCTAGCTATTATTTCAATACATCTTGCTATTTATAGCCTAGCTAACCTACTGACAAAAAAACAACACAAGAAAATGCAGTGACAATATATTAATATAAACCGTATTTCCAACTCAACAATCGATAAAGTATGAACAAAGGGACGTTTAACAAGGATACCCATGAAAAAGTACAAAGATAATAAGACCAGGTATTCCGGAAGGGTAAGCCTTAATGTACAGGTGAAGACGTATTCTAAAATATTTTAGATATTAAGATAGAGAACACAATGTTTTGTGATACAAAACGATCACCCGCAGTCACAATTTACAAAATTCTGTCTAAATATTCAGTAAAATTACGTCGTGTCGAACAACTGGACCTAGTCAGTTTAATGTGTGTGTATAATTGCGATGTCTAATTGAACTGAGCCCTATGTATGTGCTCCCGGAAGCTGTTGAAGGTGCCAACGCATGTTTATACAGTGTATTTTACAACTGGCAAACAGAGTTATAAACATATATTATAATTAATCGATGGTCGCTATGATAAAGTTTATAAATGACGATATAAACCCAGTCAGTTTCTGTATTTACGACATCCGGGACGAATATAGGAGATGTATAAAACCTTGTCAGTACACTTATTT